AATGAATGACACTTTATCCTTCACCTGAGAAAGCTATATGCCTTCAAAGCCCTTGAAACAGCACAAATTTTGCAAGAATAAAAGAAATACATGACCTGGTAGTGATACGAAAGTTAAACTGATGCCTGTTAATCAGGTCTTCCTTCCCTCATTGGCTGGGAAAAGAGAAATAACCTCTGTATGGCTTTACAGCACTGGTTAAGTTCTATTTATTTACATACATGTATTACCTACAAGCTGGTACTATTTTTTCATTTTACACAAACTGTCTAAAAACAAAAAAGGTCAATTAGTATATATGTAGAGAGGAAAAGGTGTTTATAAGAACCATAAATATTCTTCAACGAGGCTTGATCCTATTTTCTATAATTTTTCGCTAGGTTTTAGCTAGAAAAATTTTATGTAAGAGAATTAATGAATTAATAAATTTATTTATTAATTGCTTTACAAAATTATGCAAATTTTTAAAACTTCACTGTAAGAGGAGAAACTAGGAGTGTGTGTGGATATGGCTATCTACTTAAATTTACAGTTAAATCCCCAAAATATTCACAATTAAAAACAATATCAGGAATAAGCACTGAAGAGGTGGCCAAGACGTTGGACTAGGAAGACCCTGAGCTCACCTCCTCCCACAGGCACAACAAAATTACAACTAATTACAGAGCAACTACCTGTAAGAACAACCTGAAGACCAGCAGAAAAGATACTCCACAACTAAAGACATAAAGAAGGAACCACAATGAGACAGGCAACAGCGCTGGAGATGCACTTTAGTCAGGACCTACACCCCCAGGTCAGCAACCCACAAACCAGAGGAATATTACAATTATAGAGGTCCTCCACAAGAAGCAAGGAGTGTGAACCCCACACTGGGCTCCCAGGCAGGGGACCTGCACCATGAAGATGAGCTCCCAGAATGTCTGGCTTTGAAGGCCTGCAAGGTTTGCATATGGGAGAGATCCCAAGGGCAATAGGAAATAGGGACTCCATTCTTAAAGGTTGTCTGCAAAATCTCACATGCTCTGAGTCCTAGCACAGAGGCACTAGTTTGAAAGGAGCCTGTTTCAGACCCACTTGCTGCTCTTGGAGAGCCTCCGAGACAGGCAGGAAGCAACTGGGACTCCCCCTGGGGACAGAAAAGCTGGCAGCAGCCATTTTTGGCAGCTCATTCTACCTCAATAACACCAGCACTGGCAAGCACCATTTCAGAATCCTCCCTCTAGCTTATTAGTGCCAAGGACCAGGCCTGTCCTCCAGCAAGCTGGCATCAGCCCTGAGCCCTGCTAGGCATGCAATGAACCACTTGAGAAGCCTACCCCACCGACCAGCAGACGGCAGCAGCCCCACATCCCATAGGTTGAAACAGACAACCACGAGAAAAGCCCACCCTGCACTCCAGCAGGCCTGCAAGTTGTGCCAAGAGGCACCACAGCCAACTAAGCTGGGGTTCAGCCCCACATACCAGCTGCCCAATGGAAGTTGACCCTACTGCAACAGAAGGGTACATGCAGTCCATATAGGGGGCACCCCTAGGAATAGGGCTCTGGTGACCAAAGGGGTGCATGCTGCCAGGCTCCAAAGGATGTCTCTTATATAAGGCTACTTCTGAAGATGGGGAGAAGTAACTGACATACTTAACACCGAGTGAAAAAACACAGAATTGGGTAAAATGAGGAGATGAAGGAAATGTTCCAAGTGAAAGAACAAGACATAACCTCAGGAAAAAAAAAAGAAAAGCAACTAAACAAAGATAAGCAATTGACCCAATAAAGAATTCAAGATAATGATCATAAATATGTTAACTGAACTTGGGAGAAAAAGGGATGAACACATTGACAATTTCAAAAAAGAGTTAGAAAATACAAAGAAGAACCAAAGAGAACTAAAGAATACAAGAACTAAAAGAAAAATATATACTAGAACAAAACAACAGTAGATTGATTCAGAGGAACTGATACAGAGGAACTGATCAGAGATCTGGAAGATCTGGAAGACAGAGTAGTGGAAATCACTCAAGCTGAACAACAACAAAAAAAAGGGTTTTAAAAATGAGGACAAATTGAGAAAGACCTCTGAGACAACATCAAGCATACTAATATTCACATTATAGGGGTCCCAGAAGGAGCAGAGAAAGAAAAAGGGGTAGAAAATGTATTCAATGAAATTATGGCTGAAAATTTCCCTAACCTTAAGAAGGAAACAGATATAGGTATAGGAAGCTATGGAGACTTCCAAACAAGATGAACCCAATGTGTCTACACCATGACACATTATAATTAAAATTGCAAAAATTAAAGACGAAGAGAGAATCTTAAGAGCAGCAAGAGAAAAGCAACTAGTTACATATAAGGTAACTCCCATAAGGCTATCAGCTGACTTTTCAGCAGAAATTGCAGGCCAGAAGGGAAGGGCATGATATCTTTAAAATGATGAAAAGAAAAAACCTACAACCAACAATACTCTACTTGGCGATGTCATCATTCAGGTCTGAAGGAGAGTTAAAGCATTTTAAAGATAAGCAAAAGCTGAAAGAGTTCAGCACTAAACTGGCTTTACAAGAAATGATAAAAAGACTTCTCTAAGGAGAAAAGAAAAGGCCATACTAGAAGTAAGAAAATTATGGAAAGAAAAGTCTCACTGGGAAAGGGAAACATACATTAAAGGTAGTAGATCAACCACTTACAAATAGGAAGGTTAAGAGATAAAAGTAAAAAAATTATCCATACCTGCAATAAGTAGTTAAGGGATACACAAAACAGAAAGATGTAAAATATGACAACAAAAACATTAAATGTTGGGGGGAGGGCAGTAAAATGTAGTGTGGTTAGAATGAGTATAAACTTAACAGATCATTAATTTAAAATAAAGATTATATATATATATACATGCAAATATGTATGTTGCTACATATGAACATCATGGTAACTAAAAAAATCAAAAACCAGTAATAGATACACAAAAAAGAAAAAGAAATCCAAATGTAACACTAAAGACAGTCATCAAATCACAAGGAAAGAGAGCAAAAGGAGAAGAAAGGAATGAAGAAGAACTATAAAAACAACAGGAATACAATTAACAAAATAGCAACAAAGACACAGAGCAACTAATTTGGTAAAAAAAAACAAGAATGATACATATGCTGCTTCCAAGAGATTCACTTCAGATCTAAAGACATACATACTGAAAGTGAGGAAACAAAAAATTGTATTTGATGCAACACGATACACCACATAAAAAAACTGAAGAGTATAAATCATATGATTATCTCCATAAATGCAGAAAAAGCTTTAGACAAAATTCAAGACCCATTTATAACAAAAACTCAACAAAGTGGGTATACAGAGAACATACACCAATATAATACAGCCATACATGAAAAACTCACAGCCAACATTATACTCAACAGTGAAAAGCTGAAAGCATTTCCTCTAAGATCAGGAATAAAAAGGATGCCCACTCTCACCATCTGTGTTTAGCGACAGCAGAGAAGAAAAAGACAAAAAAAAGACTGCAAATTAAAAAGAAGTAAAACTGTCACTGTTTGCAGATGACATGATACTATACATATCAAATCCTAAAGATGCTACAAAAAACTACTATAACAAATAAATGAATTCAGTAAAGTTGCTGGATAAAAGATTAATATACAGAAATCTATTGTTTTTCTATATATTAATAATAAATTATCAGAAAAGGCAAGAAATCAAATCCCATATAAAATTGCATCAAAAAGAAAACACCTAGAAATAAACTTAACTAATCATGTGAAAGACCTATACTCTGAAAACTATAAGACACTAATGAAGGGAACTGATGATACAAAGAAATGGAGAGATATCCTGTGTTCATGGATTGGAAGAAATAACACGGTTAAAATGTCCATATTACTCAAAGCAATCTACAAGTTTAATGCAACCCATATTAAAATAACCATGATATTTTTCACAGAATAAAAGATCCTGAATAGCTAAAGCAATCTTAAGAAAAAAAGAACAAACTGTAGGTATCACACTCCCTGAGTTCAGCTGATACTACAAACCTACAGTAAAATCACAACAGTATGGTACTGGCACAAAAACAGACACAGAGATCAATTAAGTAGAACAGAAAGCCCAGGAATAAACTCATGAACCTACGGTCAATTAATCTATGGCAAAGGAGGCAAGAATATACCAAGGAAAAGACAGTCTCCTCAATAAGAGGTGCTGGGAAAACTGACCAGCTACATGTAAAAGAATAAAATTAGAACAGTTTCTCACACCATATGCAAAAATTAACTCATAAAACTCCTAGAAGAACACTATAGGCAGAACACTCTGTGACAAAAATCATGGTGTTATGTTTTCACATCAGTCTCCTAAGGCAAAAGAAACAAAATAAAAAATAAACAAATGGGACCTAATTAAACTTAAAAGCTTTTGCACAGCAAAAGACACCATCCACAAAATGAAAAGACAACCTACTGAATGGGAGAAAATATTTGCAAATCATATGACCAATAAGGGGTTAACATCCAAAATATATAAACAGCTCATAAAATTCAATATCAAAAAACCAAATAACCCAATTGAAAAATGGGCAGAAACTAGAATAGATATTTTTCCAAGGAAGATATACAGATGGCTAATAGGCACATGAAAAGTTGCTCAACATTTCTAACCATCAGAGAAATGCAAATCAAAGCCAAAGATATTACCTCACATCTGTGAGAATGGCTATCATCAAAAAGTCTATAAATAA